ACTACACACACACACACACACACACACACATATTATACATATATTCCTGAAATTCCTTAAGAATCAGCTGTCTCTGGCAGCTGAGAAACTGAATTCAACAGATCATTATTCTGAAATAAACTTACTTATTTACATTTTCTCTTGAACTATATTTGAAACAAACTCCTCAGATGAAAACCAAAGCAAAACCTTCTAGCCTCTCAACCAACTCACACCTTCCTCTGAATCCCACCAGCTGCTTCACAAGAACATACCACCAGAACGTGGAGGTTTACATCAATACCCAGATGCTGTTATCCTTACACAATAATAAGATTCAACATAAGGAAACACCTGAACTTGGAACTGTCTTTCCAAGATGGAAAGACATCCTTAGTCCCTGAACCACGAGGTTTTCAGCATAATTCCAGAACTCCTACCCTGCCCAGGAGGTCTTAAAGAGCCTGGCCGATAAACTCAACCTAAAGGAGGAGCAAGTTACGGCTTGGTACCACCAGCATAGGTACACGCAGCTCTGCAAGGACCCGGAGCCTCTCAGCCACCCCACCGGTTCAGCCCCACCTTGTCCCAGGAGTACAAGTTCTTCTATCGAAGCCTCCTGCACTTGATGAGCCTAATGGGTTCTCCTTCAGAGACCTTAGTCCCCAACGCAGGGCCAGGCGGGACTCCCAGGGCCCATGTCCTGAGCCTCCACCCTCACCAGGCACCCCAGGGCTCCCTGCAGCTTTGGAAGCCTTGCAGAAACTCTCCATCTGTACCTTGACATCTGGGTACCAAGGCAACCAACCAAACCCCTGGGGTTTCTGAGTCTGTAGGTGGGTGGTTGCTTGTGTTTTTGAGGGGTTGGTTGGTTGGTTGGTTGGTTTGTTGACTGATGGTTTTTGAGAGGTCTCCGTATCCCAGACTGGCCTTCAACTCAGGGTAGCTGAGGAGGACTTGGAACAACTGATGCTTCTACCTCTGGGGTGCTGGGGTTGCGGGGTGAACCACCACGCCCGTTTTGGTTTTAATATTTATTTCCTATGTTTAGGGTTTTTGGTTTGGGGTTTCTTTCCTCTTTGATATAATTTCCTCTACCACCTGGCCCTGGTGTTAACCTTTTGTTTGCTTTTTGCTTGTTTGGGTTTTTATTTGTCAGTGTCAGATTGATAATAAAACTTATTCCTAGAAAAGAGAAGATACAAGATTTAACTGCTTCCCCAGCACAGCCGCACATGCATTTTCTATCCTGTTTCTTTGTTGTAAGTCTGTTCTCACTTTATATTGTCTTTAACATCTAATCCACTTCATAAAAATTAAACAAGTACAAATCATATACATAAGTATCAGTTTGTTTAAGAAATGTTTTATCTGACATTGGCCACAGATCCTTTCTCTCCTCTATTTCCTCTCCTTGAAATCATATGAAGAAGGTGATTTTCGTTTCTGGTTTCTTTGAGAAACCAGACAAATATATGACACAGACGGGTTCAGAAGCACTAGACACGGTGAAGCTGAACACAGCAGCTCAGGACGGAGGAAGAGAAGGTCCTTCTGTGCTGGGAATTCCAGGGCAGGGCAGGGCTGAGCAGCCGGCAGGAGCCCGTGTTCTGTGGGGTCCCAGGGCCAGGAGGAGCCGGTCCCGGAAAGCCCTGTGTCTGTGGAAGAACGGGGCCCAGCAGGAGCGTTTCCACGACATGGAGACAGGGCAGAGTCCTTTCCAGCGTTTCCCCTCCACCTCAGCTCCGGAGTCCTGCAGAGCACAGGGACAGGGTGTTTCCAGACCTGACTGCCATGGCCTTGTCACCATCTCAGGCCTCTCCTGGCAGCATGGCGGGAGGACGAGAGAAACATCTCCAGCTCCCGGGTCAGCTCTGCTTCGGGGCCCAGGCCCTTCATTCAGTGCAGGGAACAAGGCTCAGGGCAAAGTCCTGGCCAGACCCTGGGTCTAAACCTCGCCCAGTGTGTCTGCCTAGTGTCCTGTCACCTCTGCCCTGTGCTGTGGGGAGAGCAAACCTGTCTGAGAGGATGGAAGGGCATTACCTGCTGTCCGAAGTCCAGACTGTCCTGGGATCGAGGAGATATTTAAATATATACAGCAGAGCTGTCCCCAGACACAGTGTCCCCAGCCTCTGATCTGCCACCTGGGATTGCCCTAACACCACAACCCACACAAACCAGGGCGGACAGGGCGCAGGCCGACAGCAGGAGCCTAGGAAGCTTCTGCCACACAAACCCAGTGCCCAGTGGCTCCTCCTTCCTGTGTCATTTCTTAACCCATCACCTCTAGGCTGGTTTTCCTTTCTCTTGTCTGTAAGTCCTGACTCCTTGAGTTTTAACTGCAGACTCTTGGTTTGAGAAGTCCCTTGGAAGTCTGAGGTCACCTGAAGAAAGAACACCTTCACAGGGCCACAGACATCCTAGAACAAAGCCGTGTCTCTTTCCCAGAAATGTCTATGGAGAGTCTCCACCATCCCCAGGCTCCTCACCTTCCAGATTCCTTAAGTAGATGAACAGCCCCACCCCGAGGAAGAGCAGGCCCAGCACGAAGCCCCCAACTCCGCTCAGCATCTTGCTCTGTGCGGATCCAGATCTCATCCCTGAGAGAGGAAACCAGGTTTAGAGATATTCAACTCCAACCTAGTCTCCATCTCTGGACCCTGAGATTCAGAGCTCTGGGACTGGGGAGGAACCTTCACTAGCACTCAGACCGTCCACTCCTGGGATGATATTCAGAAGGCACCCTGAATAGTGAGAAGGTCCACACCCCGAAGGGATTTACACCTGACCCCCCTGAAACACCACCCCCCACACGAAGCCTCTGGAATTCAGTGAGGTACAGTCATGAGGGGTGACAGCTGAGGAAAGGCGGAGCTGAGACGGGACGTCCCTCACGTCAGCCGTGACCCTGCATTGCACCTGGTCCGTCATCATCATGAACCTGCAGCAGAGCTGGGAAACAGCCCCAGCCCAGAGGCTGCAGCCAGGGCCATGCAGGCGACCAGGCCCTGTGATGTCACTGGAAGGGTCACAGGAGTGTCTGGTGCACATAACTGTTTCCGGGGTAGAGGTGGTTGTAGACATATCACAGGGCTACCCCAGTGAGCCACACAGAAGGAGAGGACATGCAGCACACAGTGTGTGGGGAGAGAAAGCTGCCACTCAGGGTAACCACACCCCTTCCTGGTGGGAATTCACAGGGCCAGGGACCTCCCCACTCACTCCACTCCACTGTGACAGGGCTGGGCAGGCTGGGGTGCTCCACCTGGCAGGTGTAAACATCTCCACTCTGAGGAACGGTCTCCAGCATCACCAGGGTTTGGAAGGTCCAGTCTCCATTCCTGATCAGGCCTGTGGACACAACCCCAGCCGTCTCCTCCCGGCCGTTGCGGAACCATGTGACTTCAATGTGGCCAGGGTAGAAACCACTCACAGCGCAGACCAGGAGGCTGTGGTGCTGTACGTGCTGGGTCTTTGAGGGGTGCACAGTCACCTGGGGCTTTTCTAGGGGAGAAAGGTGGTGAGAGTAAGTCAGGAGCACAGAGAGATCCTCCCTGGCCCGGTGCTTCCTATGTGCAGAAGGTCATGACTGAAAGACCAGATAAGAGACCGGCCTCTATTAGGGAGTTTGCACAATACAGGCCACCGTTGAGAGACCACAAAGGGAACTCTCCCCAGCAGGGAATTTCCACAATACAATCCTGATCTGGGAAGGCGTTCCTCCGCGCCAAATTGAACAGAATTTTTAACTCCCTCATTCTCGGATCACAGACCCTCGAGGAGCTTCTCTCCCTCCTAGAAATCTGGCTGTACCTCCTGCAGCCTGCCAAAGCCCAGCCCTTTTCCTCTGCAGCTTCCAGACAAGTTTATGGCCTCCCTGCCAGGAGTCGGGAAAAGCAGGACAGGACAGGCCAAATACGTGGCTGTGAGACTTCCTGCCACTCTCTGAAAAATCTATAAATGTCAGAAATCACATTTTGGGAGGAATTTGAAGACTTTCCCTCCAGCCTCTCCATCACACTTGGGGGTTGTTTTTCCTAATGCCACTCCAAGGCTTGCTCATGCCTGTCATACACACACACACACACCATGATACAAGGCTCTCTTTCTCCTAATAAAGCTCTTCTGAAGGGTAATTCTTGTGTTAGCTCCTTCCTCAAACCTGCAGATAATTTATAACAGTCGTTTAGTCTGTTTCTTCTAGAGCTCAACAGCTGCATCTCCAGATGATGTTTTGATAATAGTTTCCACTCATCTTGAAAGCCCCACTTCCCTTATGTGCCCTGGCCAAGCCAACGCAGACCTTCTACCAAACGTACCCCTAAGTATGGTTCTCTCCTGCCAGAGGAACAAACAGGAGGTAGAGCCGGTGCATGGCCCCTGCTCAGCTGCCCTGTTCTGCCTCGGTGGGGCCAGTCTGTAAGTCCTGCTCCTCCTCAGTGTGGCCCGCCTACACCTCTAAAAAGCCTCCAATCCAACCACCACTGTCAAATCCCATCAGTCAGAACCCCAAATTCAGTCCCTTGTTTGGGGACCAGGTTCCAGTGTGCGTAACTTAGAGATCATTTAAAGTATTCAAGAGAGTTTGCAGAGATTGCTTGACAGTGCTGCACCATTTTATAGAAAGGACTTCAACGTCTGATGATTACATGTCCATGGGGTCATACAATCATGGAACAAAACTGTCAGAGTTGGTCTTTGTCAACTTGACAAAAACTAGAGTCACCTGGGAAGAGAGGACCTCAATTGAGGACTTTCCTCCATCAGACTTACCTGTGGGTTCATCTGTAGAGCATTTCCTTACTTGCTAAATGATGTAAGAAGGACCAGCCCACTCTGGGCAGTGCCAGCCCCAGGCAGCTGGGCCTGGGCTGTGTAAGAAAGGAATCTGAGCAGGCCAGGGGAAGCAGCAAGTCAGTAAGCAGCGCTCCTCCATGGTCTCTGTTTGGTTCCTGCCCTGGCTTCCGTTGATGATGGACTGTACACTGTAAGATGAAATCAACCCTCTCCTCCCCAGGTTGCTTTTGGTCATGGTTTTTATCACAACAACAGAATGTTGACTAGAACAGAAATTGGTACCAGAGTCATGCTGTTGCTGTGATGGGCCTGGCAGTGTTGTTTGGGGAGGACTGGGGAACTTTTCTTGGAACTCTGGGCTCAAAAAGCCATTGAGTGCTCAGGGCTTAACGAGTCGCCATGGGAACTTGGAAGCAGATGCTGAGAGCCGTGCAGACAATGGAGGTCTGGCCCGTGGAATTTGAAGGGGAAATCTGAGAGTCCCTCAGCGACTCTCAAGGCTGTTTGTGTGATGTACGTGAATTAAGAATCTGCGGAAGTGAAACTTCTTGTGCTTTCCTGGAGAAATGGATGCTGGCTATCTGGGACTGGAAAATCAGTGTAATTCGTAAGAGACAAGCATCACTGAGGTGAAATCTTCTGGGAAGTATTTCCTAAGGGTCAGCACACAGAAGCTGTGGTCCAGGTGTGCCAAGGGTACATCACAAGCTGGCAGCCGAACTTGGTAAAGTGTAGGAGTCTCTCCTGCGGTACTGGGTTTGTAGGCATTAAGGGATCACGTTTAACAGCTGAGCCTCGGCACTCTGCGTGGCCCGGAGACTCCACGGGTGAAGGTGCAGCTTCAGTTTCGGTGGAGAGCCCATCATACTGAAGGTGCCAGGACCATGGGATGATCCCCAAGGACGGCGGCAGGAGAGGAGCTGGCCTGAGCCCACAAGTCAAGCTGTGTGTGCTGCAGATGGCGGAGCCAGGGAAATGGAGCTGCTCAAGCCCTTTGCAGCCCAGATCATGAGTAAGTCCCAGACGCCAGAGCTCTTCACACTGCTGGAGTTTGGATTTGCTTTGATCTGATTGTAACTGTGGCCTGGTTCTCCCCTCTTGGAGTAAGAAAGCATGTAACTTAGTTTTTTTTATTTTACAGGAACCCACAGTTAAGAGATTGATTTTTAAAAGAGAATGTGGACATTTTAAATACAGGGAATTTTAATAGTTGGACAGTGTTTTATACTGTGACGTCAATATTAGCATGACATCTTGGGGACAAACAAGAAAGGAAGCATTATAGTTTAACAGGGATGTGTTTGCATGTCAAGTTGACAAGCAATCAATTGTGCTGGTGTTTATCAATTTGACACAAACCAGAGTCACCTGGGAAGAAGGCGCCTCAATCCTTCCTCAGATTAGCCTTGGCACATCTGTGGAGCACTTCCTTAATTCCTAATTGATGTAGGAGAGGCCAGCCCACTGAAGGCAGTGCCATCCCTAGGCAGCTGGGTCTGGGCTGTATAAGAAAAGTATCTGGGCAAGCCAGGGGGGGAAGCCAGTAAGCAGCGTTCCTCCGTGTTCTGTCTCCAGGGTCTTGCCACGGGTCAGGGCTTCCACTGATGACGGACTGTAAACTATAAGATGAAATAAACTCTTTCCTCCCCCAAGTTACTTTTGATCACCATGGTTATCGCAGCACCAGAAATCAAACTAGAACACAAACCCCTCCCTGACACCCAGAGAGGAGAGTATCTAAGTGATTCTGTAAACAAGATCTAACAAAGGGAATGTGAGGTAAATCCCATTACAATTACACAAAGACATAATATGAAACTACTTGAATACCATCCACATTATGAAAATAGTAATGTTAGTATATTAAATAACAAAGCTGTAACTTAAAGACTGACTGCACTATCACTAAGCTCTGTAATAATATGTACACTAAGCAAACAAAAAAATAGCAGGAATTTTAGGCATGAAAACAGAGCAGTCAGTGGAGACCATCCCGAAACTTTCACCCCAGCCACATCCCATCGCCCAAGCTATGCTCCAGCCTTACCCCACCTCCACCCTCTCAGCTGCCATCAAGGGCCATGGGAACACACCTTCATCTCTTCTCTCCGGGTCCTCCCCTTGCCTTTATCCCCTTCTCTTCTGGGGTCTGTCACTTCATGGCACACCCCCCTCAGACAGGCACACTGGCTCTCTCCCTCCCACACCGTCACACGCTGACAAAATCACACACACTCACCAAGGCAGCCTCTAAAACTGCTTCCCCACAATCCCACGCTCACCCTTCTGTCCCTCCCTCCCTCATGTCTCCCTCTCTCCCTCCCCCATTTCTCACCTCTCTGCTGCACCTTGAGCTTCTCCACAAGTCTATAGTTGAATCTGCAGTACGTGTCCACCTTGGCCCGCTTCTGCTCCAGGAAGTCCTCCTGGCTGTTCCAGTGCTCGGCTTGGAGCCGCCCCAGCTCGGTCACTGCCTGATACTTGCCCACTTCACTGTCAAAGCGCAGGTGCTCCTCCTGGTTGTAGACGTGTCGCTGCAGATATCGCACCTGCTGCATCCCATTGGCGTAATGACACTCGCTTTTAACTTGATGCAAGAAACGTGCTGTGGAGACAGGAACCCTGATTCATCATTTATATCTGGAGGAAGATATCTCTCTTCAGATGCCCAAACCAGATGAATGTAAGAGTGCCCCAGACCACCTCTGAGTCCACTGTGAGCCATCTGTGTACCCAAGGGGTGGGGGAGGGGAGAAGGTGAGTGAGAGATGGCTCAGAGGTTAAGAGCACCTGCTACTCTTACAGAAGACCTGGGTTTGATTCCCAGCACCTACATGGTAATTAACAACCGTCCATAACTCCAGTTCCAGGGGATCCAATGCCCTCTTCTGATCTTGGGAATTGCACAGCACAGGTACACTTACATACGTGTAGGTAATACACTCATACACCCATTTCTCTCCACTTCTTTGGGCCCTTGTTTAATGTAGTGGGCGTGGGTCCTGTGCTCAGTGCCACCATTGTCACAGCTTCACGTGCAAGCTTCCAGTGGTCCAAAAGCCTCTGCCATTGAGAGGTCTTTAAGTCCAGTTAGATGGCTGTTGATTGCCCCCAGATAACAGTGCCACCATTGCACCAATAGAGGCAGTTTGCCATGCCAGTCGTTATGGTTATTAGGGTTTGGGCCTGGGTTGGACCATTGATTGTTTTTCTCCCTTGGCAGTTTGCATATCATCATCCAGCATTACGATAGCCAAACTTCAGTTAGAAAGCTGCCAGGTCAGTTCCTGCTCCGTTGTTTCAAGTCCTGTATCCAAAGTATGTCCTGTCTTCAGCAGCAGGGTCTTATCTACTAGTTCTGGGAGATAAGCAAGAGGTTTGGCAATAGCCCGTGTTATTTGGGGAGTCTCCTGGACTACCTTCACCAACAAGTCTAAGGGAGTATCTTCTGTCTGGCACTGGTATCCTTGCCCAGCAGCTCCCAGGTACACATATGCACTAATGTTCAGACACTGTGTGTGCACTTCTCATGGGATTTCGAGGGCATCACATTTCCCTCTGGGTTTCCTAGCCCCCCAAGATTCATTCATCTCTGCTCTTTGCATCCCATCTGGCCTCCCTCCTCCTTCCCTATCAAAACAAAAGTTTTTAAAGGATAGTTTTTCTCTATTTCTGTGAAGAATGTCATGGGGATTTTGATTGGGACCGCACTGAATCTGTAAATTTCTTTTGGCAGGATGGTCATTTTCACAACATTAATTCTATCAATCCATGAGCATGAGAGTTCTCTCCATGCTCTAGAGTCTTCCTCAGTCTTTTCAGAGGTTTAAAGTCTTCACTGTAGAGGTCTTTCGCCTCCTTGGTCAGGCTGACTCCTAGATGTTCCTTTTACCTCTTTAGGCTATAGTGAACGGGAATGTTTCCTTGATTTCTTCTCATAGCGTACTTGTTCTTGACATACAAAGAGGTTACTGATTTTTGTAAGTTGATTTTTGTATCCTGAAAGTGATGAGCATTTCTAGAAGTTTTTGGTGAGATTTTTGGAATCTGTTAGGTATACTATCATATCATCTGCAAAGAGGGATAATTTTACGACTTATTTTCCCATTAGTATCCCTTTAATTTCCTTCTCTTGCCTTATGGGCTCCAAGCGCTGAAGTGAAAAGGAGCAGGGATAGTGGACAGCCCCGTCTCACTTCTGATTGCAGTGGAATTGGAGATTTTCTCCACTTAGGGTGATTGTTGGCTGTGGATTTGTCATAAATAGCTTTTACTATGTTAATGTATATTCCTTCAGGACCTGTTCTCTCTAGGACTTTGTATCATGAAGGCATGCTGGATTTTGTCAAAAGCCTTTTCTGCATCTGTTGAAATAATCCTGTGAGTTGGAGGCACGTGCTCACTGAGGCAGGAGGAGAGCTGGCCTGCACAGCCTGACAGGGACTTAGCCCGCAGAGACTGGCCCACGCATGCAGCCCTGCGCCCACCAACTCGTCCACCCGCCCACTCCCTGTGCCGCCTCCTCCCACCCTGAACAGAGCCACTGAAGATGATAAATACCCAGGACAGTAGTATTTTGCCTCTGAGTAACTGTCCCCAGCTACAGTACTGCAGGCACATTGTTCCAAGGCCTCTGTGGTGCTCCTGATGCCCCTTACCCACTGTCGAAGATCCCCAGTGGGCGAGGGGATGGCAGGGATCCTTCTTTCTCAGCTCTAATATATAAGGATGAGAAGCTCACTGTGACCCAGGACCTCCCTGTGAATGATGGAAAACCTCACATTGTCCACTTCCAATATGAGGTCCCCGAGGTGAAGGTCTCTTTCTGGGATGCAGTCCTGTCCAGCCAGAGCCTGTTTGTAGAAATCCCAGATGGACTGTTAGCTGATGGGAGCAAAGAAGGATCGTTAGCACTGCTAGAGTTTGCTGAAGAGAAGATGAAAGTGAACTACGTCTTCATCTGCTTCGGGAAGGGCCGGGAAGACAGAGCTCCACTCCTGAAGACCTTCAGCTTCTTGGGCTTTGAGGTCGTGCGTCCCGGTCATCCCTGTGGCCCCTCTCGGCCAGATGTGATGTTCACAGCTTACCCCCTGGACTAGAACTTGTCTGATGAGGACTAATGGTCATAGAGGATGCTTTGCCCATCCTCTGTGTGGGGGAAGACGGGGAGTTAGGCGGCCCGGGGACAGAGGAGAGGGTTTCTCACTGTCTAGGGAAGGACACTGAGGGGCTCAGGTTGAGGGCTGTCCATTGTGTTCTTGGAGTTGACTCGTTGAAATTGTTTTCCATAAAGAACAGAATAAACATATTATTCACATGTAATCACCGATAGTAAATGAAGATGTTTATGAACTGATACTAGAAGCTTTTTAAACTGCGCTGTGATGTGCTCCATCTAGCCTAGGGGAAGAGGACATTGCCTGGAGGGGGAAGGGCTCTATGGGTCCAGGGTCAAGGCCTGGAGTCCTGGTGGGCAGGGCTATCAGGCTCAGGTCTCCCTGCAGCTGGGCTTTCTTTTTTGGTTTTTAAGACGTAGGTACTTTCTTTCTTTGCCTCCTGTCACCCCAGCTCCTAGGTATGGGCTTTTCGCCTCCTGGGCAGAGTCCTTGGGTTGTTTTTTGACACTCCTCCTGGGCTTCTCTGCATTTTGTGTCTGGCCTGGTGTAAGCAGGTCTGACCCCTGCCATCTTTACCGCTTAGTGTTATTCTGGCATTTGGTTAAGCTGGCTTAATCTGTTTAATGTTATCAGTACATTTTAAATAGGGGCACTGACACTCACTCCACCACCAGGTGGTTTTTTGGGGGTGCCGGGGCCTTAACAAACTAGCCAAACTACATCTTAAGTTTACCACCTGGAGTTCTCGCCTCAGTGGCTCAGGCCCCCAAGGTCCCTTTCCTAGTCTCAAGGGCAGAGAGGAAGAATAGCAACTCAGGCCTGGGACTTGTGGGAGGGATGAGATGCCTCTGGCTGGCCAAGCATAGTACTGACTGCCTCCCCCAACGGGTTCTGAGGGTTCCCTGCTCTGCAGGGCTAGGGGTAGGGCTGGACTGTGGAAAGTGGCCTGTCCTTTACTGTTTTTACAGCTTATTTTACAAGAGTAAGGAAGAGAGATCTAGATTGGGTTAGGGTGTCAGGGAGGCAAGTGTGTTGTGTTACTGTGTCAGTAAAGTGATTTAAAGTTAAAAAAAAAAGATAAAAGAAATAATCGTGATTTTTGTATTTAAGTCCATTTATATGGTCTTTTACATTTATTGGTTTACAGGTGTTGAACCACCCCTGCACCTCTGGGATAAACCAACTTGATCATGGTAAATGAGCTTTTTGATGTATACATATATTCAGTTTGCGTGCATTTTATTGAGAATTTCTGTATATATGTTCATTAGAGATATTGGCCTATAGTTTTCTTTGTTGCTGGAGGGATCATCACACCAGATTTCAAGCGATATTACAGAGCTATAGTAACAAAAGCAGCATGGTCCTGGCACAGAAACAGACATACATCAACGGAACCAAACAGAAGGCCCAAATGTGAGAGCACCTAGTTACTATGCTCATATTCAACAACTGTGCTAAAAATACACACTAGAGACAAGACAGCATCTACAATGAACGGTGCTGGGAAACTGCACACCCACACGTAGCAACGAGTGAAATTAGACCCATATTTATCGCCCTACACAAAAACCAATTCCAAACGGATCAAAGACTTCAATGTGGAATCTGAAATGCTGGAACTGTTAGAAGAAAATATAGGGACTATCCTACAAGTCCCGGGTGCAGGAAAGGACTTTTTAAATAGGACTCCATTTTCTCAGGAATTAAGAATTACAACTGGCAAGTGGGATCTCATTAAAAACTTCTGAATAGCAAAAGAAACAATAACCAAGCAAACAAAAAGCCCACAGAGTGGGAGAGAATTTGCCAGCTACACATCTGATAAAGGATTAATACCCAGAATATACAAAGAACTAAAAAAAAAAAAATCAAGGAAACAAATTAGTGGTGTGTGGTGTACTTCTGTAAATAAAAGGATCCATATTTAGCATACAGTAAGAAATGTCATTTGTCTAGAGGTATGACTGGATAGAACTTAACATATATGATAGAATGCATGAACTCCTGTGGAGGAGGCCGTGGAGGGGTGCGAATGGGGGGAGGTCTAAATTTAATTAAGTTCTATTATATAAAATACACAAAAACTCAATAAATAAATATATTCAAAATAAAGAAAGGAAACAAAGCTAAAAGTATATTTACCATACGACCCAGCTATACTACTCCTTGGCATAGACCCGAAGGACTCACTGTCCTACTATAGAGAAACTTGCTCAGCCAAGTTCATTGCCACGCCATTCATAATAGCTTAGAAACTTCAACAACCGAAATATCTTTAAGCTTATGAATGCATAATGAAAATGAGGAACAAACACACAATGGGACTCTATTCAGCGGTAAATAAAAATAAAATCAGAAAATTTGCAGGTAAATGGGCAGAGCTGGAAAACATTATACTGAGTGAGATAACCCAGACTCCGAAGACAAATGCCATGGTCTCTCTTATTTGTAAAGCTGAGCGAGACCCTTCCTGTTCCTTCTGACTCTGTAACACTCTCAGAAAAACCTTTGGATTAGTTTAATGTTTGACTTTGTCATTTTTACTTAAAACAACAGAACTACACATACAAAATAGGATAGAAATTGTACATATGAACTCTTTTTAAAGCGACGTCTCTTCGTCTAGCATAATTCAACATGAAGACAAGCACTGTACAAGAAAATAATTTAACATCCTCTCTGGACCCTGAGGGAATATGACACAAGAAAAGACCACAAATTTTAAAGACGTAGCATGGGCAAAGTGAGGATGTAGCTCCCTTCCTTCCCCCACCCACAGGAGCTCAGCACCTCAGGTGCACACTTACGTCGGACGTCTCTGACCAAAGCCACAGGAGGGCTCAGAACCATCAGTATCACCGTCAGAGCTGCCAGGCGGGGGCCTCTGGGGAGCCTCAGACACACCATGCTGAGGAGAGGGGAGGATGGTGGTCTCCCAGAGTGGAAACAGAATCCTCTCTACCCACATCCCAAGTACTTAGAACCAGGTATTCAATGCTCTGGTGCTGGGTTGGGTATCTCAGTGCTGAGTCACCAATCAGCATCAGATATGAACAGCATCATCAGTTGCTTGTTAGACATTCAGTATGAGGGTCCTCTTCTGAAACTTGAAATTCCCTTTATTAAAGATCCTTACTATTTAGCATTAAATGTTTGATCCAGTCACATCTGAAACACTTTAATTGGTTCCATAGTGAGCCAGGCCTGTGCTGGTCTGAGCACTGCAGGAGCCTTGACCTCACCAAGACAGGGCTGCTTGGACAACTCTGTCTGAAGGTGTTCGAGAGTCAAGGAGGTCAAGGGAGGATGAGGCCAGGCGACCTTGAACCTGGGCCTCACTGCACCACAGCTCAATGCTGAGGATCTCAGTAAGTTAATGAACTGCTCCCACTTCACATGAAGTCACTGCTGTCTTTCACATGTCCCAGTGTTGGAAACACCGTGGTCCTGTGGACACCTCATGGAGCAGCCTTCTCTAGTAACTGATGATGTCACAGAATTCCACCTCCTGATTGGAGAGTGCAATGTGCACTTCCCAGGTAGGGAAATCTCTGACATACAGGAGGAAACTGTCAGTCAGTGCATAGTGTGGCCTGAACCGGAGGGTGTTTCGTCTGACTTTAGTGTCCCTGACATATATTAGGGCCATATGCAGGAGCACAGGTGCAGGGATCCCTGTGGTCATCCAGATCTACCCCCCCCCAGAAGCAGCCACTCAAAGCAGATATTGGGGACCCTGGGGACACATGAGGGTGCAGCGCCCTGAGAGGTTTTAGTTAATGTCCTCGTGTGCAGAAGTCTGGGGGACGCAGAGTGAGGCCCAGAGCCAGGTCTGGGATGCAACTTTAGTTCTCTGACCTGTGTGTGACTTTGGAAGATAGATCGGTCTGTTCAGACTTCAGCTGTAGACAGCGCTTTCTCTACTTCCAAGTGCTGTTTCTGATTCAACATGTCTAGGTTTCACCAATCTTTAGCACAGCTAAGGTTTAGAACCAGAATGTTTGCCATGGAGTGCTTGGAGAGAATTAGAATTCTCACAGACCATCAGTTAATACTCACCAGGAAGAGTCTGGTTTTCTCTCTCCTTCACCCAGATCTCATGTCAGCCGTGCTGTGGTAAAGTACCGACCTCTTTAACACAGTGCAAACACTGGGCAGGTTGGTGTTTTAAGGACTAGAGGCTGACTGAGCCCTCATGAATCCTAAGCAAGTGCTCTACCACTGAGCTACAGCCCCAGCCCTCTTTTTATTTTGAAACAGGGTTTCACTAAGCTGCCCAGGCTTGCCTTGTACTTGTGAGCCTCCCACCTCAGCCTCCGGACTAGCTAAGGTTATAGGACTGTGCTACAAAGACCCAGCCTGGGACATTCTTTTGGGTTTTTTTCAAAATTCAATTTCAGAGTTCCACTGATTTACTTCCCAGGATTCCAGCCAGTGTAGACACTGATCAAACTGGGCCCCTGGAGATGGCTCAGTCAGTAAAGTGCTTGTCATGCAAGCATCACCCAGGGCCTAAGTAAAAAGCTGGGCATGGTGGCACAGGCTTACAACCCCACCACCCAGGAGGCTGAGACAGGCAGGTGGATCCCTGGGGCTTGCTGGCCAGCCAGCCTAGAATAATCAGCAAACCCCAGATCCCTGTGAGAGACCCTGTGTCCAACAAGCTGGATGGCTACTGTGGAGTGACACCCTAGACTGACCTCTAGCCTCCACACACACATGCACACATGCTCACACATGCACACACATACATGCACATAAAACAAGTTAATCAGCTAGGCATAGTGGCACACGTGCCTTTAATCCCAATACTCGGGAGGCAGAGGCAGGCAGACCTCTGTGAGTTCAAGGCCAACCTGGTCTACATAGCAAGATCCAGGCCAGCCGGGGCTACAGAGAGACCCTGTCTCAAAAAATAAAATAAAATAAAACGAAAAAATGAGTAAAGTCATAGATCTGGATATCTTGGGACTGATAGCATGGTTCCAACAGAGTTTTAGTGTGTATGGAAAGAGAGAATTTTCTACCATAAGAATCTGGAAATTTCAAAGCTGGGTATGGTGGCACACACCTTTAGTACCAGCACTGGGGAGGCAGAGGCAGGCAGATCTCTGTGAGTTCAAGGCCAGCCTGGTCTACATAGTGAGTTCCAGGACAGCTGGGACTACAGGGAGACCCTGTCTCAAAAAGACTAAATTTTTTTTAAAAATCTGGCAATTTCATCCTGTCCCTCAGTCACATAGAATGAGGCACCTTGTGTTAAGTCATCAGGACTGATGCTGGCGAGGTTCAATGGGCCCGAGTCACTTCCAAAGAGTTCACACAGTGTTCACCAGTCTAACGCAGCAAAAGAAAAGAAAGTCGGTTCTAGAAGGTGGGGTTGGGAAATGGTTCAGTTGGTAAGGTGCCTGCTGTACAAGCAAGAAGACCTGAGTTCAGATCCCCAGCACCCAGTGAAAAGCCACAAATGTCACCTTAGGGCTGTGGGGAAGTTAGGGGGTGAGAGACCAGGACAGGCAGATCCCCAGAGCTCACTGGCAGTCTAGCCAATTCTAGGAATTTTCATTTCCTCCGTCTCCTCAGTGACACGCAATGCACAGGTGTATTGCTCACAGTACCACGTTTGTATATTTCTGCAGTTTCTCTTGTTACTGGCTTTGAGTTTTATTCAGCAATGACCTAATAAGATCCAAGAAATTGTTTTGATTCTTTGATTTTTTTTTTTTTAAGATTTGACTTACGTCCAGAAAGTGTCTATTTGAAGAAAGTTCCATGTACTTTGAAGAAAGTTCCATGTACTGAGTAGAATGTATGCCCAATCTCATCTCTGCCTTTAGTTCATAGTTCAGTGTCCATGATTCAGAGCTGGCACCTAATGGCGTCGCATGGATCTTCCATGTTCATTTCATATGTTCTAACTCTATCTGTGTTGCTGTCTGAATGTGCCAACTCGTCTGATGGTCTTCAGCCGCACTGCTCTGTCTTCCACTTGACTGGCTCTATTGTGAGGGCTCCTTTTTGCAGTGAACTTACTGAGGTTTTTACTTACAATACTCATTTTTGTGTTTCCAGTGTTTATATCTCTTTGCTGAATTTCTCTTTCATATCCTTCTTGACTTCCTTGTTTTGTCTGGCTGTTTATTTTGTTTCTCTTTGGACTCAAACAGGAGTTTCTGTGTCTTCTATAGTTTTTTAAAATATTGTTATAATAATTTTTTATCTTTGCGATTTCATCTAATTCATTCTCACTAGAATCCGTTACTGTGGAACTGATCATTTTTGGAGGCATCACAGTGCCTTGATTTCTTACGTTTCTTGTGTTTCTGCAGAAGGCTTGTATATCCTGTGTTAAGCCATTGGTTGGATTTTTTGATCACTTGTATTTTTTTCCATTGAAGCATCTTCCATTTGAAGGGGTGCTAGGTTATAGTGGAGTTGAGGTGTCCTTCCACCGGACTGGGGCTGTAGCTCAGTATCTGAACCTTTGGCCCACAAGCTCAGAGCACTGGGGTTCATCCCACTCCAAGAGCATAATACTAACTACAGATGCACCACAAGTGATGGGCAGGTCTTCTGTGAAAGAAAATTAAATAATCGCTCGTTTTAAACAACCACCCCTTCCATTCCAAAGGCTCTGGAGAATTAAGGAACAAGGATAAGATGCTGTGTGTTAAGAAAGTACTGACTGGAGGCTGGAGAGGTGGCTCAGTGGGTACCAGCACATACTGCTTTTCCAGGGGACCCGGGTTCAGTTCCCAGCACCCACATCCTGTGACTTACAACAGTTTGTAACTCCAGCTCCAGGGCATCCAGTACCTTCTTACGGCAGAGAGAGAGAGGGGGGGGAGAGAGGGAGAGAGAGAGAGATCGTAGAAACTAGTTACTAAGGGCAGGAATGCAAAAACTAACAAGCTGGGTTAGGCTGGCGATTAGCAGACGTCCGCCGGCTCCCTCAGCCCAGCGGGAGCCTTTCTTTCCACAGCTTCTGAGCGGCCTGTTCAGCCTGCAGTCCCTTCCACATCCAGCACTGGATGGCACCCAGGCCTATCTTCAGAGGACATCTTCTGTTGGCATGTTACCCTGTCCCGGCACTAGAGGGCGATTCAAGCCAACGTTTGACCCAAATCCACCATTAGTGTGTTTAAATGGAGCCATGAGACCCTGCAATCCCCACAAGCCTGTGGGGCTAAGGCAGGCCCACGTGTTCCACCCGCAGTCCACAGCCTGCACTCAGGCGCTGTGGGCCTCTGTCCAGCTCTGGGCATAATCACCATGGATGAACCAATCCCAGGCCTGATGTTGGGTTTGTGGTCACCAGCACTGTCAGCTGGCTTATACTCTAATCCCACACCCCACTATGAACAGGAAGGCACTGGCAAAGGATGCAGGACCATGCTGTTTGCATGCAATTGGCCCAAGAAACTGTAACGGCCCGGGGAGATGCTGACTGGAATAGAAGTCTGATATCCTGGGAACACGTTTTCCCGCATCAGGTCTGTTCCAAAGCCTCTATCCAATGGCAATCCTGGTGAATAGAGGCTGTTAGGAGATCCCCCTCTTTCCAAATAAGGTAATATTCTGAAGTACTGGGGCTCAGGACTCCAGAATATGAGTTTTCAGAAGGGCCAACAGTGAGACAACTCAATTTGTAATGCTTTCTGAACAGAACTCCGGTACCACAGGAAAGACCAACAATGGACACAAGGGATCTCAAGAAATTAAAAGGCTCTGACAGCAAAGGAAGCTCTCCATCCTGTGAAGAGGCAGCCCAGGGAATGGGAGAGAATCTTGCCAGCTATACATCTGACGGATCTGATGGGATCCGTGATGACAGGACAAATTCAGAATTAAAACACAAAAGAACTGTTTAAAAAATATTTTACTTGTTATTTTTATTTTATGTACAT